AGAGAGGGGGACACGGGGTGGAAGAGGGAGGGGGCGGGGTAGAGGAAGGTAGGGACAGCATTAGGTGTCGAGATGTTTGTACTTGTATTATACCTTAAACTGTAAGTCATTTGTAATCTTTCTTCTCAAGGCAGCAGAAACATGTCGAAATAATAGATATTTACACATTATATTAAAGTTGCTGATAATTCCTTGGACGTGTACATTGTAAAGTGGTGCTGATACTGATAAAGGATTGTAATTGTTAGATGTTTGCTTTAAGATTTTTCATCTTCATGTCAGTGTTTCAAGAAAGGGTTTGCCACTTCTTAAAGCAAACTGCATTACAAACTTAAGGTAGGGTCTGTAAATATGGATATTAAACACAAAGATGTCTTCGAGTGGCATGTAAGTATGGCTTACAGCACGTCCTTGTCCAAATGAAGCTGAACATGTGTATATTTCCCAACGGAGGTAGTGGATATCTTTTTTCAATGACGATGTCTCTACAATTTAGGTCAATATCATAGGTTGACATTATTTCATATGTTTATTTGTGAACACACACCATAAACAGATGGCTACCCAAATTATTCTATTGTAAAAGTCCAGAAATTTTGGAACCTCCAACACCTGTTTGAAGACTACATGTTAATGTTTCGCTGAATAGAATTAAAAGTGTACAAGATAACTGGTAGTGTGAAGGTCCGATATGGTGTCCCCTCCTCTCTGCATAGCTAGCAAACTGCGATGTTACGTTCATGTACATGATGTTTCTTTGTTGTATTAGTTAAGTCTTTGTGAGCAAAGTTTACAATTTGTATAGTGTTAACTTACATCTCACAGAAGGGGGAATTTTGTAGAAAGGGGAAAACGTATCAGTGTGACCATGTAAAATATTGTGAAAACCGCCTGGCCCTGAGTATGATACAAAGAAGATGTATGTGACTTCTGGTGGGCTTATTCCAAGAATGGTGCATTTTTGTTGTACAGGTGCAAGTACGATGGACCATGTATACCCCCCCCCCCAACTCATTGTATGGTCACCTTAAAGCTAGATTTTCTAGTATGCCCACACGAAGATTTTTGTACTACATTTAGTTTGTAGTCTCGTAGGCTCTTAAGTTGGACAGCCCTCAAAAATTGTTCCCTGTATCACATATTTGTCTACTAAATATTTGTACATCTAGGAAAATGATGCTGTGTGTGATTTTTGTGTTATTTTCATTTGAAGGATTATATTTAGCATCTTGCCGTCCTTAACGCCCTATTCGGGGATTTCTCGTCCAAAAACTATCAATTGCCGATCACAGTAGGAAGAACACCTTGTAGTGTTAATTGAATGAATGAACCTTCATTGCATGTTCTTGCCCAGGTGAGCTAAATGCGTATGTGAACAAAAGAGGTCGATATAAAACATGGGAGTATTGAGCCGCTACATTCTAATGCTATTAAAAGTGCTAAAAGTATATATATCACAACAATACATGTTAATACATTCAAGCACATCAATCAACAAGCACATGGGTAGCACATATTTGTATAATAGTTACATTGACCAAAATACCGGTACAGGGGAGAGGATGTAGAAAGGAAACAAGCGTCCTTTTAAAACTACGAAATCGTAGCCTGGTAACCAAACTTCAGTTTTAGCACCCGAGTCTCTCTGACGTTAGTTATTTACGGGACGGACAAGTTACGAAACCAAGTCTTAAAGAATCCGTCAAACAGGCTTATCGAGTTAAAAGCCTTGTTTATGTGAAGTCACCCAAACCGCGATTCGGGTAACTCGCATTCCTCACATCTGGTCCATGTGCCACACATTCCTTTAAAACCGTGTCCGATCACAATTCGCCTGAGCTACATTTATTGTTGTTTGATGAAAACACGCAAGGTAGCGTGTTATTAATGTCACAGGTCAACGACCTGCTTGCTGATGCCCCCCTCCCAGCGTATCTCGGCCGAATGCCGACGTGGTCCCGCCAGAGGCGGTGAAGCTCGCCCTAGAACGGACACATTATTTGACCATTACTGCTCTTTAAGTTGCTGCCACGTAAAAGTTGGTAGTGCATATAAATAAAGAAATATCACCCCGTAATCCACGACCAGGCGAAGTCACATTGAAATCACATTGCGTTCAGACGCAAATCGCGATGCGGGAAACCGATTCGAAACCACCTCTAGAAGTAGTTTGGGATTGAGGAGTCTTTAACAATTTTGTCATGACGAAGTAATTACGAAATTCCACGAACTCATACCTTCACTAGATGATTTTATCTTTACCACTGATCAATTATAAATGCTTATCATTTATTATGCAAATAGGATTATCATTTAAGTTTGCATAAATTATAACAGTTAATCATATGTGTCACCCAATGACAAAGAAAGCCATTGTAGGATTTCTTCAAATTATCAAAATGAGGGGCTGATTGGAATAATCATATTTAATAATTTGTATTACCACTTGCCCATCCACCTGCTAAATAGGACAATCCATATAAGCATTCTCGGGTTATCGTGTTTACAGAACATGTCTGCCGAAAATATCACCTTCTTTGTAACAGGAAACATGCATTCTTGAGGTTACCGTAGTGCTTAACAATACGCCCCTAAAGGTCAACGTTCTGGTTTTAAGCACCTAAGCCCCGGTGTGTGCATACCTGTTTACATGGGGAACAGCAATACGTGTACTTCAGAAGGGGCCATATGTAAATGAGGTGAATGTGTAAACTTCAGTTTACACAAGGTGTTGTTGCCAAGCCTCCAAGGTCAACCCTCAGTTACAGTCGCGTTGGTCGCCATTTTGTCTACAACAATCTTGTGATCAGACAGTGAAAAAGGTAAGTGGCCTTTGACGTTTTCTCCACAGTGTTACCGTCGAATCTCCGAAAGATACAGAAAATCGTTGATTGTCCGATGCTTTAGCACCTTTAGCAGTACAATCAAGAGAATTCGTGCTTTATTTGGCACCAATGCTTACATTATATGAGTCACCGTTACAGCAGGTGAACACGTTTACTTTCATTTCCCAAACTCAGATAGTTCTATCTTTCTGGCAAGTGTTACTACCTCACATCCGAGAGTCTTTGGCCTTATGATACTGCCTAGAGTTCCCCTAGCTCATGACCGCACGCGAAAAAGTTGGATTTGCCAATGGTATCAGTAAATACAAGGGAAGTATTGTAGAATGTCTCAGGTAAATGCCAGTGGGGTTGGGGTAATGTTTACTTTTTAAACAATACAGGCCTAACTTAATTAAAATGTAAGTTAAATTACCGCACTTGACATGACATTTACTGTTATGTACAGTCAACTACTGTGAACAAAGTTCTATAGTTCTATGTACAGTCAGAAATAAGCTAGAGTGGTATGTTAGGTCAAGAACTGTCAGTCCCTCTACTCGGCACGTCACTCAAAAAGAGTCGACTACGAAGGCCTAGGTCACATGTACGTTTCATACGAATTACACGATGAGTTTGCGCTACGCTTTAACCCTTGCCTACCCTGTACGTTGCAGGTTGTTTATCGAAAACTAGTCGTGAACAGTACCGATCGTGTTCTCCATATACCTTTCTATACGCTCTGTTCTCCACAAATCATGGCTGAGGAGTCGTCGTCTATTAACTCCCCGCCGGATGAGTGTGAATCCCCTGTACCATCATCATCATCATCATTATCATCAACGTCTGTATCTCTTGCCACTGTCGTTGAAGAAATGACCGAAGCTATCGAGACCATTAAGAACACTACTGGAGATTTGTCAGCTGTGAGCGACAACACATTCATTCTGGTGACCAAGGTTTTTGATCCACACTTCACATACGAGACGAAATCTCAGAGGCTGTACTTGAGCGACCATCTGGCAAATATCGGTGCCGCGGAAGTCTTCACCAGGAACATCGCGTGGCTGCGAGCATTGGAACATGGCGGGTTGTCTGAAGATGTCTGGCCATACATGGAGTATCTATACCTCTGTTGCCAGAACTACACGAACTTTAGCCAGAAATTTGCTGAAGAACTAGGGAAGGCCGAAATCATTCCTATCCTGGTAAAGGACCTTCAAAAATTAAAGGAGACGTGGAGAACTGATGAGGTCAGTGCAAAGAATTCCTAATGTCGGTTTACTACACTATCCACAAAATAGCAAAAAGGAGGCATATCAATAAACTCCAACTTCAACAGGATATGGTAAATATTGAAAAATTACACATCATTATTTCGATGAATGCTTTTCCTCTTTATGACGACCAACATTACATTTCTCGACAAAAGAGCATCATAGGCAATACTTTGTTGGCAAAGGCAAAATGTCAATTTAAAAATTGACATTTTGCCTTTGCCTAGCAAAGTATTGCCTATGATGCTCAGTGTAGTCTAGTCTTGTTCACAACGTATAACTTGCCAAGCAAATGGCAATGTATAACGCAGAAAATTAGTATGAGATATCAGTATGTGTATTATCATGTCGCCATGACTGTGTAGATTCCTAGAAATCTTTTTAATCACAATGTATATGATTGATGTCGATGTATGTAGATTCATACATTTTATCTGCTGCCACGTGAAAACGAAAATGCTTGTGAAATTGGATGTATTCTACAGAGATGTAAGGACACAGTCTTCAATTCTCTGGGTACTTTGTACAACATATCAAGGATGTCACCAAGCATCAGACCGCTCTTCAGAGAGAACAAGGCAATAGGAAGTCTGATTCCTTATCTGAAGGCGGACAACGAAACGTTTAAGACCGTTGCTACCTTAACACTGGCGTATGTAATTGGTGAGTACTGGGTCAGAATGTTTTAACACGGCTTTCCTTCGAATTCAGACCAAGTTTTTTTACCTCCATGAAAAATGGAGGTATTGTTTTTGGTGTGTATGTGTGTGTGTGTGTGTGTGTGTGTCTGTGTGTTTGTTTTTGATATCACGGTTTTTGATATGCAGGTAAGTTAAGTGATGCTTGACATAATTATGCAAATTTTGAAGGAATTCGCACAATTTATGAGGAAATTCTATAAATTAGTTCCATTACATGACAGGACTATTAAATGTCATGCCCTGGAGGTAGAAAAGTTCCATGGTCATACTTAGGGTATTTGCAAGTTAAGTGAAGGTGAACATCATTAAACAAAAATTATTAAAATATGGACCTAATTTGCATAATTTATAAGGAAATGCTAGAATGGCATTCTTTGTTAAAATAAGACTGTCTTTTACTATCATGAAAGTTCATATGTGTTGGTAGTTACATGTTTAAAGTTAAAACTTTTGGTCCAACAAAAAAAATCTCTCACCTAGAGCTTTCGACCAGTCACTCTGGTTTTCCTCAGTAGACTGAAGCACGTCGGCAGAACGTACTGCGCCTGCGCAAAACCCTGTATTTTCACGGTTTTTGGTCAACGATGCATCAGAATTTGCCTGTTGCAGAGGATATCTTTTCTGACATAACATTTGGAAACTACAGACGAAATGTTTTCCTTATATGCGCGAATACGACCTTATATGAGACGTTCTGCCGAAGTGCTATGTACAATACATTACGGGTTTCGCGCAGGTGCAGTGCGTTCTGCCGACGTGCTGTAGACTGACCCAGTGAAGCTTGTCACGTGGCTTCTTTGAAGTGTGACGTTTACATCAGGGCCCATCACCCTTCATTGAATCGCGACGGGGGCCGACATCGTATACTAGATACCTTTGACCCAGTGTTGACGTCACACTTCAAAGAAGCCATGTGACTAGCTTCACTGGGTCAGTCTACTGAGGAAGACCAGAGTGACTGGTCGAAAGCTCTAGGTGAGAGAATTTTAAACAAGACTGTCTTTTGGTTATCAACTGATATAATTCATGGCAATGAGGTTCCTATTTGCATAGTGGGGTAATGATTAATAATTTGTCTGTCATAAGGATTAACATCATTTGGCGAAGGTATGAGATCGTGGAACTCTAGTTATCACGATGAATTCATCAAGCGTTGCTTTTTATTTCAGACGAGAAAAACCTGGGCATCGTGGCGGATCCTTCTGTCATCCGTTTCATCACTAATCTGTTTATTGTGACAGTAGATGATGAAACAAAGTTGTGGACAGTAGAGGGCACAAGCTTCAGCGCCACAGAGCTGGCCATGGGGATAGAGAGACTGGCAGTGAATGATACTCCTGATGATAACAATAAGGTAACATTTTTAGAGGTTTCTAGTATCATCAGCTTGCAGGGTTTATGAATAGCAACTTTACATTGTCAAATCTTTACCATCATATTGATAAGAAAAATTGAAATTTACAAATTAAAACACGGAGCAATGCCCAACGTATTTGAACGGAATTTAATGTTTTTTTTGTTGTCAAGACCTGAATACGGCCGCGGTATGTCCAATGTTTCGTAGAATGGAGGGCTTTGTTTGTCTGTTTATTAATCCCGGAAAGAAATTGCAGAAAGTGATATATTCGTCTTGAATAACCGTTGTGTTCTTCACGATCTTCACTAGCTAACACTGGTGGAAGAAGGTGTCCTCCCACCTCTGTTCAAACTGATGACTGAAGGAGACGAAGAGGAGCAGCTCCATGCAGTCCGGGCCATCTCACAACTCGCCTTCCATCCGAGAAACAGGGAGAAGATCCGATCGGTCATCCCGCAATTGCAGCAGTTCAAACAAAGCGAGAATACTGACATAGTAAATGCCGCCAACGGAGCTCTGTGGCAGTTACAGGATGCAGAATCCCGTCAACAGAAGGGTACGAGCAAATAATTCTGTTTATTAAACCTGTCTAGTGTCTAGTTTGGCACTTTGACCATGGATTATCCTTAGTACCATACATACATACATGTTGAAAAATGGTATGTTAACGACCTGATCAAACTTGTTTCACAACTTCACCACAGTTGTAGTGACCGATGACAGAAGAAAAGCCAGCCGTGTTCGGCATGTGATGCTCAGCTACCAATGGGACAACCAGAAAACCGTCAAGAAGGTAGTTATAGTGATTACGCATTTGAGTTAATCATTTAGCGTCGCAGACATTTTAGTCTCACCAATGTTTATTATGTTTACTTTATATGTAAACTTATGTATACTTTCAAAATGACATGAACCAAATTGAAATTACAATACAGATAAAAACCGCGCTCGAGGCAAAGGGTTACAAGGTTTGGATGGACATTGAGAAGATGGGCGGTTCCACTCTTGAGGCCATGGCGGGGGCGGTGGAGGAGGCAGCTGTGGTGCTCATCTGTATGTCCCGCAAGTACAAGGAGAGCGTCAACTGTAGAGGAGGTATGTGTACAATCTACATGAAGATCTATGAGGAGTAAGATTCTATCAAATTGGCCTGAAAATATGCAGTTGACTTGATACCCTTTGGCCTTGCTTTTGAATTGATTGAATTGATATTTTACTGCGTTTGGCTGATATCTTCCTGGGTTTCGTTATTGGTTTGCCTTTACTCCGTTTAATGTATGACCAATGTCGGACATGAATAGTTTGCCAATTGCTTGAGTATTGCAGAGGACCATTCTATAATTGTTGACATTTGTTGCCCTCCTGCTCTGACAGAGTGTGAATATACCCGAGTAAGAGGAACTGACATCATCCCGCTGAAGATGGAGGACAGTTACAAACCTGACGGCTGGCTGGGGTTCCTGGTTGGCGCTCGTCTGTACTTCAACTTTGACTGTCAGGACAAATTTGAAGACGTGATGGCCCGGCTTATCAAAGAAATAGGTACATTTCTATATACGATCCTTTTTGTCATGTTATCAGTTATAATAATATCGTAATCAGTGTAATAATCAGTAATCTTTTATTCCATATACATGTACATCCACTTAAATCTAGGAAAGGCATCTATGGGCCTTTCTTATGGCCTACCTCGGTAAAAATGCAAATATTTGACCTACACGCAGCCACTCTTTCTTTGGTCGAACCACTAATTGCCATGTTGTCATTGGTTGACTGATGAACAGTCAGGAAAGGTCCATTGTCCTCTCTATCCAATGGCCATGGTACTTTTCCAGTCTTCGGCAAGAGTTGATTGACTAACCTATGAAACTATTCATTGAGTATGTAACTTTCGTATTAGGTGACAGAGGCAAAGAACATGCGCCCGAAGTTACAGAGACGGATGCGGTTATGGAGCTCAAGATGGCCGCGGTCACCTCCAAACCGCAGGGACAAAACCCTGACGAATGGGCGAGTGAGGACGTCAGGACATGGGCCCAGGAGAACCAGCTGGAAGGGTACAGCTCATTTCATGTCATAACACAGCAGGAATGCATGTCGTTTGCTTAGTTCTGTGTACGTCTTGTAACTCATTCTCACTCAATCACGATGACGGGACTATAAAGCGAAGCCTTAAAGACAAAAAAATAGAGAGCTTGAAAAGTTACATATTTTGCCAAGGCTTTGTAGTACATATAGTTCATTGATGATTAGATAGTGCCAAATGGTACAAGCTTAAGGCCCTTATCCCTGTGTTTCTCTGTGTTTCAGAGATCTTACGAGATTAGAACCAGACGACTTACACTTTCTGCGCAAAGTGAAGAAGGAGGTAACACGTTAATTTTAAACTAATGTATATAACCAGATATTTCTCGATGCAGTGCCCTATCTGTTTTATTCAGTACAGCCCCCTTGAATCATGCACGTATCAGCTAAAGACGTGCTTCTCTTACTTGAACTTACTTATATCATCATACATATCATTATACTTGGATACCATCTCTTGTAGCCTATTATGGCTCGCCCCCTTCTAGTATCATTGTGAAGTAGTACAACATTTACTATAAAGGCCCTCTGGTAGCATATAGACTAGTCTTTGAGCGACATACTCTGTCGCACCACTGGCAGGTAAACTGGTCAAGAGTAGTCAGTGGTTACAGGAGGTTAACGGATACAGGCGCCACTGAATCTGCTTGGAGATTAGCCAACAGCTCCGTGTTCCAAATAGCCCACTATCATGCGATCTAGCAGCCCAGCTGGTAACAGTACATATTACGTAGACTGTTCTGAGGGCGTGTTGGAAACTTGTATATCAGTATCAGGGGCACCTTCTGTTGCTTTATGCACCAAAAGATCCATTCCAACTACGACTATTAATAGCATGGCGTATGTACTTCTGTTCCAGGCTCCTGCCGAGTTCTACAAGTCGATCGCGGATGAGCTGGGACTGAAGACCATCTCCAGCAGGAGGAAGTTCTGTGACGCACTGGATAATCTGGAGCAGACTCAGCGGTCACAAGTGTTCAGACAAGACAAATCCGTGGTTAAAGGATCATCCTCTTGTCAGTTAATCTAATCATCTAAGTTATAACGCACATGCCAGGTTAGATGCAAATGAATTATATATTTTGTATGAGTATTGTGATTCAATTTATTATGTAGATATTATCAACCTTAAACACACCAGAAAGTTTTGTCAAGTTATCTGATATTATTTGTTTGTTTACTTGTTTATTTGTTTATTTGAATTCACCACAAGTGTGGAATCAATTACAAGTGTGGAAGGGAGGACAAAACAGGTGCATTGACACCTTTACAAGTTGTCCTCCCCAACGCTACAATATAAATACAGATTGCAATATTAAATACAAACCAGATTACAATTATATTGAACATTAATAACATGAAATACAAATACCTGCAATATCATACATTAAACATGAAATACTGTGTATTGTCATGAAATATCATACACTATATGCAAAAAAATGGCAATGATCAAAAACTAGTAATTATGTACTTATCTGTAAGCAGATGTCTTATATTATGCTTTGATTTATAAAACTGTACCTTTTGGCCTATCAGTGAATACCTTGGCATCCTAATTTTACAATCATGTCTCCGCAACCTGCTGGGAGACTAAATGTACCACTGATAAAAGTTGAAAGAAGTATACAAGACTGGTAGTTCTTCATACCAACAATGTATATATTAGATGTCTGTCTGCTACAGTTTATTTCTGAAGAATATTACAGAAATAGGAAAATTGGCGAAATATCTGAGTGTGAACATGTTAAAAATATGATGATAATCACCCTGCCCTACGTAAGTTACAAGCAGTATATATATAACGTTATATGTACTATTAATGTATTTTTGTGTGCTATTTCCAACCATTCTGCACTTTTGTTATAATATTAAAGGTGCTAATACTGTGTTGGGAAACGTTACACAACTTCGCACTCCATGGTCACCTAAAAAGAAGATTGTGTAATAATTGTATGCCTACAAAAATGAACAGTTTTGTACCACAGACCTATACTCGTAGTTCACTGTCTCAGTTCTTGTCATTTGATTTTCTACCAGGTATTGAAACGTCTATAAAGATGATAATGTTGCGTGTTATTTAGATAACTTTTCGAAGTAATTAGTTCAGGACACTTTCCTTTGCCTTTTGGAAAACGTCCTTTCAGAAAATTAAAATTCGTGGATGGCCAATCCCTAGTTTGTACAGTGGCCAACGATATCTAATTATCTGTTTTTGTTGTCGTTGAAAGTGCTTGCATGCCAACAAAAGCTGTCAGGGACAATGTGGACCATACATGTTTTTAATGTAGTTACCTTGACCAGAAAAACAACGCCTTTGTTATAACACCCAGCTTGGGTTGAGTTTTGCAACTTGAGCAGCTAGATCGATGTTGTTACGCTGAACAACAGATTCCGAAACATGAGTGCATAGCGTCTTAAACAACTCTATCATGACGAATGAGGCAAAATTTATACGTGCTTGAAAAAAGGAGGTAGTCTAAATAATATCCACCTCAAAAAGTTATTATGATGTTCCTGACTTAAGCACCTACGCCCCGATCTGTGCATGAGCGCTTGAATTGGGAACAACAAATCAGACAGATCTGTGCTTGACTGCCATTTCAGTTTACACAAAGTGTTGTTGCTAGGCATTCACGGCCAACCTTCAGTAACAGTCGCGTTGGTCGCCATTTTGTCCAGAACAATCTTGTACCTCTTGTCGGACAGCAGTGAAAGGTAAGTGGCTTTCCACAGTGTTACCGTCGTATCTCCGAAAGACATAGAAATTTGCTGATTGCCTGATGCCTTTCCACCTTTAGCAGTGTACAAACAAGAGAATTCGAGGTTTACTTGGCACTGGTGCTTACATTACATGAGTTACAGCAGGTCAACACGTTTACTTTCACTTTCCCAAACTCTACAAGTTGTATCGTTCTGGCGAGTGTTACTACCTCACGACCGGTAGTCTTTGACCTTATGATACTGTCTAGAGTTCCTCTAGCTCATGACCGCACGCGAAAAAGTTGGATTTGCCAATGGTATCAGTAAATACAAGGGAAGTATTGTAGAATGTCCCAGGTAAATGCCAGTGGGGTTGGGGTAATGTTTACCTTGTAAACACTACCGGACTTAATCAATAACAATGGCAGTAAGTTGAATTACCGCATTTGACTAGATGTTTATTGTTATGTAAAGTCCACTACTGTGAACAAAGTTCTATGTACTGTCAGAAATAAGCCAGAGTGGTATGCCAAGTCAATCATTGTCAGTCCCACGGCACGTCACTCAACAAGAGTCGCTTTGTTGTATACGAAGTGCCCAATACGTTTGCGCTACGCTTTAACCCTAAGATATCCTGTACGTTAACGTTGCAGGTTGATTATCGAGAATTAGTCGTGAACAGTACCGATCGTGTTCTCCATATATCTTTCTATACGCTCTGTTCTCCACAAATCATGGCTGAGGAGTCGTCGTCTATCAACTCGCTGCCGGATGAGTGTGAATCCCCTGTACCATCATCAACGTCTGTATCTCTTGCCACTGTCGTTGAAGAAATGACCGAGGCTATCGAGACCATTAAGAACACTACCGGACATTTGTCAGCTGTGAGCGACAACGCAACCATTCTGCAGACCAAGATCCTTGATCCACTTAGTACGTATGAAACGAAATCTCAACAGCAGTACTTGGGCGACCATCTGGCAAATATCGGTGCCGCGCAAGTCTTCACCAGTAACATCGCGTGGCTGCGAGGGATGGAGCATGGCGGGTTCTCTGAAGATACATGGTCCTACCTGGAGCTCCGGATCCTATACCTCTGTTGTCACAACTACTCGGACGGTAGCCAAAAATTTGCTGAAGAACTAGTGAAGGCCGAAATTATTCCTATCCTGGTGAAGGACCTTCAAAAATGCAAGGAGACTTGGAGAACTGATGAGGTCAGTGCAAAGAATTCCTAATGTCGGTTTACTACACTGTCCACAAAATAGCAAAAAGGAGGCATATCAATAAACTCCTACTTCAACAGGATATGGTAAATATTGAAAAAGTACACATCATTATTTTGATGAATGCTTTTCCTCTTTATGACGACCAACATTACATTTCTCGACAATAGAGCTTTCAATTGAAATTTTGCCTTTGCCTAGCAAAGTATTGCCTGTGATGCTCAGTGCAGTCTAGTCTTGTTCACAACGTATAAAAACTTGCCAAGCAAAAATGGCAATGTATAACGCAGAAAATTAGTATGAGATATCAGTACGTGTATTATCATGTCGCCATGACTGTGTAGATGTCTAGAAATCTTTTTAATGACAATGTATGATTGATGCCGATGTATGTAGATTCATACATTTTATCTGCTGCCACGTAAAAACGAAAATGCTTGTGAAATTGGATGTATCCCACAGAGATGTAAGGACACAGCCTCCAATTCTCTGGGTACTTTGTACAACATATCAAGGATGTCACCAAGCACCAGACCGCTCTTCAGAGAGAACAAGGCGATAGGAAGTCTGATTCCTTATCTGAAGGCGGACAACGAAAATTTTAAGACCGTTGCTACCTTAACACTGGCGTATGTAATTGGTGAGTACTGGGTTATAATGTTTTAACTTGACGACTTTCCTTCGAATTCAGACCAGGTTTTGTAACTCCATGAAAAATGGAGGTATTGTTTTTGGTGTGTATGTGTGTGTGTGTGTGTCTGTGTGTTTGTGTTTCCGCACATTTATAGTCAGCATAACTTCAGAACACCTTTATGGATTGTTATATAATTATATTGTTATAATATTGTTACGATATTTGGTACGTTGGTAGGTGTTAGGAAGACAAAGGTCAAGGTCAAATATTGGCCTCCTGGTGGCTGTTTTTGGAGATGTCACGAAATTGAGATGATAGGTAGCTCTTGTGTTGGGGAAGAAGTAGCGTATAAAATAAGACTGTCTTTTACTATCATGAAAGTTCATATGTGTTGGTAGTTACATGTTTAAAGTTAAAACTTTTGGTCCAACAAAAAAATCTCTCACCTTGAGCTTTCGACCAGTCACTCAGGTTTTCCTCAGTAGACTGAAGCACGTCGGCAGAACGTACTGCGCCTGCGCAAAACCCTGTATTTTCACGGTTTTCGATGGATTTTTGGTCAACGTTGCATCAGAATTTTGCCTGTTGCAGAGGATATCTTTTCCGACATAACATTTGGAAACTACAGACGAAATGTTTTCCTTATATGCGCGAATACGACCTTATATGAGACGTTCTGCCGAAGTGCTATGTACAATACATTACGGGTTTCGCGCAGGTGCAGTGCGTTCTGCCGACGTGCTGTAGACTGACCCAGTGAAGCTTGTCACGTGGCTTCTTTGAAGTGTGACGTTTACATCAGGACCCATCACCCTTCATTGAATCGCGACGGGGGCCGACATCGTCTACCAGATACCTTTGACCCAGTGTTGACGTCACACTTCAAAGAAGCCATGTGACTAGCTTCACTGGGTCAGTCTACTGAGGAAGACCAGGGTGACTGGTCGAAAGCTCTAGGTGAGAGAATTTTAAACAAGACTGTCTTTTGGTTATCAACTGATATAATTCATGGCAATGAGGTTCCTATTTGCATAGTGGGGTAATAATTAATAATTTGTCTGTCATAAGGATTAACATCATTTGGCGAAGGTATGAGATCGTGGAACTCTAGTTATCACGATGAATTCATCAAGCGTTGCTTTTTATTTCAGACGAGAAAAACCTGGGCATCGTGGCAGATCCTTCTGTCATCCGTTTCATCACTAATCTGTTTATTAAGACAGTAGATGATGAAACAAAGTTGTGGACAGTAGAGGGCACCTACTTCAGCGCCACAGAGCTGGCCATGGGGATAGAGAGACTGGCAGTGAATGATACTCCTGATGATAACAATAAGGTAACATTTTTAGAGGTTTCTAGTATCATCAGCTTGCAGGGTTTATGAATAGCAACTTTACATTGTCAAATCTTTACCATCATATTGATAAGAAAAATTGAAATTTACAAATTAAAACACGGAGCAATGCCCAACGTATTTGAACGGAATTTAATGTTTGTTTTTTGTCAAGACCTGAATACGGCCGCGGTATGTCCAAAGTTTCGTAGAATGGAGGGCTTTGTTTGTCTGTTTATTAATCCCGGAAAGAAATTGCAGAAAGTGATATATTCGTCTTGAATAACCGTTGTGTTCTTCACGATCTTCACTAGCTAACACTGGTGGAAGAAGGTGTCCTCCCACCTCTGTTCAAACTGATGACTGAAGGAGACGAAGAGGAGCAGCTCCATGCAGTCCGGGCCATCTCACAACTCGCCTTCCATCCGAGAAACAGGGAGGAGATCCGGTCAGTCATCCCACAGCTGCAGGAGTTGAAGAAAAGTGGGAATCCTGATATAACAAAGACCGCTAGCGGAGCTCTTTGGCAACTGCGAGATGAGGAATCCCGGATACAAAAGGGTACGACCAATTTTTAGTTGTGTTGAGTAGCGTTATCAATTTGGAGTGCTCCAGGTGATGAGGATCATTTTGAAAATATTGCAGTTGTTGTAAGGCTACCATCGTGTCTAACAAAAATTCTTCCTCTTTCAAAATTTCAGGCCATGTAATGCTCAGTTATCAATGGGACCATCAGGAAATCGTGAAGCAGGTACTAAATTGATTTTTGTATATCTTCGATAAATTCAAGCAAATGATGATTTTTTGCAGAACATACTACGTGCATCCCCAAACTTATCTGAACATGACTTGATAAGGTATATAATATCTTGCCAAAAATTAGTATGCTGTATTATAGTAAAACGAACATTGCACAACAATAATTGTATTGTACATGGTACAATGTATAGAAATGAGTATTCGACACAGTACAAAAAGCGAAGGGTATGAAATTTGAATGAAACTTCACATCCTAGTTACTAAAACACCAAGAGCTGGCCCATGGGATTAGACAGTCAACTATAGCAATGACTCATGTTATTTTTTTCTAAAAACAAAACAGTCTTTTATGTACACTATTTACCTATTTTTGTATAGTGAGAATTAATATGAATATGTTAATTGCAGCATGTAACCATTGGCATTCGGCGCATACCCTCATTGTCATTACAGATCAAAACCGTGCTTGAGTCCAACGGCTACAAGGTGTGGATGGACATTTATGAGATGGGCGGTTCTACATTTGAAGCCATGGCGGGGGCGGTGGAGGGTGCAGCTGTGGTGCTCATCTGTATGTCCCGCAAGTACAAGGAGAGCACCAACTGCAGACTAGGTAGGCAACAGTACAAGTTTCTTTTTCTTACTCGCTATTGAGAGTACCCCTTACACTATTGAGTACCGTGTATTATTGGTTACCGTATAGTACATGTATGCCATGTGCTGCATATATTGATTGGCATATATAGGCAAATATGGTGCTAATGAACTAAACATTCATGAGAGGGCTCGACTGTTGGATTTTGGTTATGTCATACTTCTTAAACAACAAAATATCCTTCTAATTTTAGATTTGTAAGAATCAATATCATTTTATTTCCAATTTGAAATCTATTTGCCATATTGGTACCCAACATACAAAGGGGAGGTTTGTGACCTCGATCTTTATTTGTTTCTTTTTGTTTATCCATTTATCAATCAGTCTTTTTTCAATGTTGACATCAATACCATAACTATGTATATCATTAGGTCTATTAGGTTTTTGTTTTCTATTATGTTGTCCATTAGCTTTTCATTTGTCCTCGTCATCTCATTCCTTAGCTGTAACTTTTACACATCTTTTTTTTTTAAATATCAGAGTGTGAATATGCAGGCACAAGGCGAACACCAATCATTCCACTGAAAATGGAAGGCAACTACAAACCAGACGGCTGGCTGGGGATATTATCCGGAGCCAACCTGTACTACAACTTCGACAGCGACGAAAGCTTTGAGGACGTGATGGGCAGACTTATGAAGGAAATAGGTACATCTTACCTTTTGCTTTTTTACTTGCCTAGTCATCTGACTTACGTTTTCATCAAGGTCACTTGTCAGAACTGGATAGGTCAGTATTTCTGAGAAAGGCCAAAGAAGTTGCTGACAATGGTGACTATGAACTGTTTGTATTAGGAAAGATACATGTAACTTTCATAAAGGAAGTAGTGGGGAGGTATAGTAATGATGATGATGATGATAGTAATTACATAAGGGGATGTGTTTTATCGTTACTTCATCAGTGATCCTCTGTGCTAAATCACATTTCTATGTATAACTTCCGCATTAGGTGACAGGGGGAAAGGACACACAGCTGCAGTTACAGAGGTCGTTACAGTTCCCCCAAAACCGGAGAGGCCGACGTTTCACGACTGGACACAGAAAGACGTCAGGGTGTGGGCACAGGAGAACCAGCTTGAATGGTAAAGATCATTCTTGTATTTGTTTACCGGCTGTTGCTGTCACGTATGAAATGAGGTTGAATATCTGATCAATTCATTGTTATGTTTTGATGATATTTTTGCAAGTCAAAAAATTATTTTATAACAGTTCTTGTTTTGTCTTGTTTTGTTTTTCAGGCAGCTTGGGACTAGTCTCGACGCGAAGGACCTGCGCTTCCTACAGATGATGAAGAAGGAGGTAAGCTTCGGACGATGTCGTATCAGTTGTAGTCGTCATAATTCTTTCAATATGGTTATATAAGTAGCTGGTGCATCGTAGGAAATGAAAGCGGGTGGTTAATTATTGCAAGTGATAAGAAAATTGCATTCAACACATGTACAGTGAGATGAGATGGGTCACACGAAGTTTACCTTAAACTGACCTGTGTGTGCTTTCTTCACGCCTATTTCAGACTCCAGCCTGGTTCTACAAAATGATCAAAGATGACCAGTTTCTGACGCATGTCCCTGGCATGAGGAAGCTGAGTGATGCGTTGGATAAGCTGGAGTAGGCAAGCCAATTTTATTCCTTATTTAAGGGATTCTCCCGTTGTTCTTGGGAAGCGAAAGGAGCATGCTGGCTTTATTTTTTTGCTTCATGGCACAACAGTTGTATAAGACAAATTACTATAGTCATACTTAGACAAACAGACATGACAACATAGTCTAGTAAGTAACTATAATATACATGTACCATATTGCTTGTCTTATTACACATGGCCCCAATGGTGTTGCGATAGGTAATAAATACCAATCATCATACAGATCTAAAATAGGCAGATGTGTTTAAACTAACAATTTACTATGAAGTTTGTTATAACAATGTTATAGAGGTTTTGTAATATTGCATATTTTAAGTGGTATTTTGACTGGCTTGTCTTAACTGACTAGGTTATTCTTAAAGTAGTACATCATTATTGACCATTAAGTAAAGATACACTAAAAACCAGTACACAATATAAGATATAAGTGTTATTCAGTCCTGGTGCTTTATCTTACAATCTTCTTACAATAATTTACAGTTTGAGTAAATCACTACATATAGTATATGCTGAAAAAATCAAAGTGAAAACTCAGAATATGTTAATGCACTACACGTACACATCTATCAAGTATCATTCTGTGATAATACATTATCTAACAAACTACAATCTTTTTACAATGATTTAGACTACATACTGGTAAATGCTTGGTATAGCAGCTAATTACATGTATAACTTATATATAAGTTTAAAATTCCATAGTTTTAGAAACAAACTGATATCTCTTAAAACTATCTTTGAATACATAGATCTGGTGTGAGATGTAAATTCTACCATGTTTTCATGTATAGATTCGGTATTCTAACTAATGATTCTCTCTATATAATATCATTAAATGTAGTTACTGGTCTCTTGACTTCACCAGCACACTCTTTTTGTGTATTTTACTTTGTATTGGTTTTTATTACTTTTGTGCGAAATGCAGAATCTTCTTTTGTATTTGGGTTAAGGTTTTATTCTTAATAAAATGAAGCATTCAGCTCAGAAAATGTCTGGACTGTTGTTTAATGCTTCTTACACTAGTTACAGCAATTTCTTTCCACAAAGTCGAATGTCATTCTGTACTGTCAGAATATATGTCACACACTTTCTCAAAAAGTGTCCGACATTTCAAAAGCTTCTGCTATTCCATCTAAGAAACTGAGAAATGACTAAGTCTGAAGACAAGTGTGTCCTGTACATAAATGCATATCTGAGTTGATATGTGAAATAAGTTAGGGGAGAAATTCGGTCCTGTGAGACATATATCAAACATATACCTGACTGTGTACAACATAAAAACATCACAATCTTCCCTATATTTGTCACATGCTATATCTAAAGTTTATTATCAAAACTAGCAGAGCCAACCCCGCTAACGCTTCCCTACACCCCTTCACAAGCCCCCCTCCCCCGAACACTTTTGGGTCGTAGTCGAAACATGGCAGCTCGTCAGACACCAGGTATGTCTGTGCTTGACAGAAGTCCCAGCCGCTCTCGTACGCCGACGCGATGGCCACGCCTTCGTAGGACGCCGAGCCACACTCCCTGTACACCAGCTCACAGAACCGCCCACAGACGTGGACCCTGTTACTGGGGAGACAAAGTATAAAGACCGTCATTATGTTTCCTGCTAATACTAGTACTAAGGTCACAATTCCCAATCCAGGGTCTGGCCAGGCAGTTTCTGGGAAGAAAAAGGAACGCAAAACACACAAATAAGGTGAAAAAAACTGAGCAATGTTCAGGGATACAAAAGTTGCACATCATGTAGTTGATAAACATTCAACAAAAAAAATACTACTAAATACTCATAGTATACGTACCAGATCAGAGGTACTGTTCAGGACTACAGAAGTTACACATTATGTAGTTCACAAACAAACAAACAAACAAACTAGAATTCCGAGACCTCATACCTCCATGAAATATGATCTTGATATGTAAATGTAAATTTCTTCTTTAATTGTTCAAATGACCTCAGCATTAACATGATATATGCATCGTGATGTATGTTAACTTTTGATTAACTTACAGATGTCCCAAGTATGGCATTCTCATCATTCACCATTACGAAATCATAGAATTTTCACATTAATTATGCAAATTAGGTCATCATTTGCATAATTAGTATCTGTTGAAGTTCCGCCTGCCATAGGCTACATAGTATAATGTAAAACACTGTAATTATAGAATTTCCTCATTAATTATGCAAATAAAGTCCTCATTTGCATAATTTACATTTAATTATGTACATCTCTCTCTCAGCTACCAACACACCAAAAATAATGAAAATATGTTGTTCCTGTCTGGACTTATTGGCTTTTAAACATTTCGCCAGAAAGTGCCCTGCAGTTCCAGAACAAGCCGCTAGGGGGCCCAAACTCATATGACTTCTTTCCAAGCACGAGAGCTACCTTCCATCAAAATATCATGACCCTTGCATGTCCAGATCGCGAGATAATGTAAAACACTGTAATTATAGAATTTCCTCATTAATTATGCAAATAAAGTCCTCATTTGCATAATTTAGTACTAACTTTTAGGTTTAATTAGGTACCAATTACCTACTTTACTTACCGTAACGTTAAGTACCGTAAACCTTTACGAACCAACCCCTTAAAAAAACTAAAAGTTTGGTAAAACCTTACCCTAACGGTTCGTTTCCCTTGGTACGTACGGTACGTTACCTTAAGGGGCCTTTTTAAAACCAACTTTACGGGGACCTAAGGGAAAGTGCCCTGTAGTTCCAGAACAAGCCGCTAGGGGGCCCAAACTCATATGACTTCTTCCCAAGCACGAGAGCTACCTTCCATCAAAATTTCATGACCCTAGCTTGTCCAGATCGCGAGATAATGTAAAACACTGTAATTATAGAATTTCCTCATTAATTATGCAAATAAAGTCCTCATTTGCATAATTTGCATTTAATTATGTACATCTCCCTCTCAGCTACCTACACACCAAAAATAATGAAAATATGTTGTTCCTGTCTGGACTTATTGGCTTTTAAACATTTCGCCAGAAAGTGCCCTGCAGTTCCAGAACAAGCCGCTAGGGGGCCCAAACTCATATGACTTCTTCCCAAGCACGAGAGCTACCTTCCATCAAAATTTCATGACCCTAGCATGTCCAGATCGCGAGATATCAAAACCGGAAGTCGCGCTGCAGTACCAAGGGAAGCCACTAGGGGGACCAAAATCTCATCATTTCCAGTTTTTGTCACACCCTACCAACACACCAAGTATGAAACCAATCCATCCAGGCGTTCTTGAGTTATCTTGTTGACCAACAGACAGACGGAAGGACGGAAGGACGGACGGACGGACGGACAGATAAACGCAACTGAAAATATAACCTCCATGACATATTTCATGGAGGTAACAAACAAACAGACAAACAAACAGACAACACTACTTACTCATAGTACCAGAGGTACTGTTCAGGACTACAGAAGTAACACATCATGTAGTTTAAGACGTTGCGACACTTCTGTGTGGCACCAAAGAGCGGGTACATGGAGCTGGCCACAGATGTGACCTCTGTGCGGCGGCAGCAGCAGTTGTTGCTGTACCAGGTGCAGTTGGCCAGGTTACCCTGCGGTTCTGAGTACCGTGCGTCATCTGTGTATGCAGGCACAAGAAAAGGTACCTTTTTAAAAGCTTAACTTCTGAAAGAATGGAGCAGGGACATGTTTATTGTAAATGATTTACAGAAAACACATTATTAAAGGAAAAGAGGATTGCCAGTTGAAAATTCTGTTCTGTAGTTAATCACTGACACATTTCTAAAATGATGTTTGCTGAAAAATTACTACAATTTTAGTCTCGGGTGCCATCTGAAAAATGGGGCCAGACAGAGACCGCAAGGACTATAATTAGCCAAAAAAAGAGGGTAAATAACTGTATGTCAAGCTAAATCCTGTGGCAAAGTATTTCCCGCATTTGACTAGTTTTTACTACATTTTTGGCAACACTACGAGTTTTCTGGAGACTAGAAATTCTTTAACTGGCAATTGGTTTTCTTGAACAAACCTAACCCGGATGATAGGACCTGGGATAAATGTGTGATGACTGATGAGTGAGTGAAGACAACCATATGGAGAAACCAAACAAAAAAGCAGAAATCAAGAAAAGGAAACACATTTAACTCACTTGCTCAGGTTACTCTGCCAACTGTGTGTCTCACATCGGCTTATAGAGAAAACAAAAACAAAATAAAGACTATAATTGAGCAAGAGAAGAGACACATAATAGTCAAAGTCAAAGATATGGATGAGACAAGATTGGATTAAAAACAAAATGATGATAAGGACCATAATGAAATACATATTGTATTATACAATTATGTAACATTGAAAGTGCAGAAATTTGCCGGTTAAGAATGGTAGTTTTACACGTACTTTAAGGAGTCTGTAGTACATGTATGTGTGGATTATTGTCATTCTAATCATAGGGTGATTGGCAACACGGAAATGTTAAAAAAAATCAATATCTAATTTAGAAATGGCAGCTGGGATTTAAAAGAGTGAGCCAAAAATACTAGTAGAATGTGCATAATATAATATGGAAGGTACGAAAAAAAATGCGATATGTTCAAAACTGTTAAATCTTTCAACTATTCCAAATATCTTGAAACAATAATCTTACGTATACTGTGACACAGAAATCAACATAATTTAACGTAACACCTAAATCGACAGGAAAATAATTTAGTGTGGGAGAGTCAGCTGATAATGAAAAATTCATGTTTAAACGCAAAAACTAACCTCAATCAGCTCAAAATCAACACATATAGATCAATACTTACAATAGTAAGTGCACACATTACTCTGGTGCGTTTGGCAACAGCAAACAGACGCGTAAACCGCGAAAACTAGAACGAAAAGAGCGATATTTTTTCCTCCGGTAGCCATGATGGATTCCCATCATCCTCTTGTGAAAGGACGAGTCTATTGATATAAAGGGGGTACGAGAATTTATTACAAAGTTCATAAAAGAAACGTGCAATTTGTGATTCATGACTGTAATGTCAACTCTAGAGATTGAAGAATTTTTAGGCAATCATCTGGGCACTTTAAACACTTGTGAATACCGTAGTTCATGTCTGTAAAATGAGTTTATTTATTTTCCACAAAACGCCCCTGTATAAAAGTTGACTCGGTCAGATAATGTTAACCTTTGGCCAGCTGCTGCCAGCTGTTCAACTGAGAGTATCAAAGTACAAGATCACGAGAAATAAAGGAGGGGCCTTTTTTCCAGCGAAATACTGAGGGTTTCCTTCCCAAAATGCCTGCCGTCTCGTCATCTTCGGGGCGACCTTCTCGTCCCAAGTCTAAGGAAAGCTTCAAGCTGTCCAAGGCGTTGTCGAAGATGTCTCGGAACGTCTTCAAGACGTCTAAGGAGATTTACGAGGAGCTGCCCCGCGTGGCGTTCGACCCGACGTTCACGTGGCTGGCGGCGGGGCTGCTGTTCTGTCTGGAGATCGTTCTCAATGTCTTCATCATCCTCAGAGTCAACTGTGAGTTCTGGGAAATACAGTTCTTTAATGATCGTAAAATTGACTGCTCTAATTCTGTTTCAATGATAGCGTTATTATTCATTCATTCATTCATTCATTCATTCGTAAACGTTTGACTGTATTATCCGTTTAATACATGAACAGTTATAATATGTAGTATGATGTACATAGTTACATAACTGTCAATATATTTATTAATTGTAGTTTTCTGACCGATGATTGTGTATCAATAATATTAAAACATGACTCATCACAGTTCATTTCACACAACTAGAGCAAAACTAAAAAAAATCCATAATGTCCAATTCAGTAAATGTATTCAGTTCTAAACCTTCAAAGCCATTATAATAATTAATTCTAACTATTGCAATAGTATTGAATGAAAATTTACTATAAGTTTAACAATTATATGGTGAAAGAGGCTCTTGTCACTGTTTTAATTATTGTCTTATTTTTACAGTGCCTGTTTTTTGTGTGTGTGTATTTCAGATACAGAGATTGACTGGGTTGCGTACATGCAGGAAGTGGAGGGGGTCATCAATGGAACGTATGACTACATGCAGCTGAAGGGGGATACAGGGCCACTGGTGTGAGTGTTTGTTTGTTTGTTTGTTTGATTCTCTCCTCAGATCTGTATTGGTACATGTAGTGATGTCATGTAACTTAGCTATAGAGGTTCACAAAAAAAAGTGTGCATCCCCAGATAATAAATAAAGGTGAAAAGCCTGCAAAGGAGTCTGGTGGAGCTAACCTTAACCCATAATTTGCCAAGCAGACTACAGGGGCACTTTTTTCTTTGTTTTTTTAGAGCTAAATCACCATAAAATAATGTGAAACTCCTGTTTCCCAGTTACCCTGCAGGGTTTGTGTATGTGTTTGGAGTGCTGTACTACATCACTGGTCATGGAGCAAACATCCGCCTGGCACAGTTCATCTTTGCTGGGTTCTACCTGGTCCTCCTGGCTCTGGTCTTCAGGATATACAACAAAACACTCAAGGTGTGAATTCAGCTTTTATCAGGGCTCAAATTATCACACAACACTAAGGTTATAAACTCTATACTAAGCTATGCTCATTATGAGACTCTCCAGGTACAAATTAATACCAACAATAAATCAAGAAAGGGTATAAATTCCCTGAAAAGTAAGACATTTCAGATAGCAATGTTTAGAATTTTTTTAACAAAAGCTTAAATGATAATTACACCAATAATTGTAAAAGCACATTCTACACACTGCATAGTCGTGTTTAAGGTACATTAGTTTCATATATACTAGTCGTTAAGTTTGTTGTTATGCAGCAGTTAGATTTTAAAGTTAATATTGTATCACACTGACTGACACTGATCTTGTCATACCTAACCCATTCATATCTATACGCCAAAAAGGAGTTACTGGATATAATTTTGGAAATAGTCAGACGTTTCAGGTAGCATCCACTACCTTTCCTCAGTGACACTAAGAGACTGCAGGAGAATTGCAGGTTTATAAGCACAAACTAATAATTAACAACCTTCACCGACATTCACTCACTCACTGTCCGGTTTATCGTCTGTTGTTCCCCCTGTCTTCCGAGGGTTAGACGTGCTTGCACTGTACAACTGAGGCTTGATGGCAGCTCGCCACTTGCCTCTGTCCTGTGGGTTGATCTTGTCCAAGTTCAGGTGGTGGAGGTCCTCCCGTATGTTGTCGAACGATTTCCTCCTAGGGCGACCACTGGGGTTTGGACCCTCCACATCTACTAGTGTGAGGATCCTCTTTGGCCATTTGTCCCTCCCTGTCCATTCTCTGGAGGTGATTCATATCTACATATCTCCAACTGCTATTTGAAGCTATTAGCACCTAATGAAGTGTCTGTTTCCTCCCCAGGTCCCTCCGTACGCCTTCCTGTTCATGTGCTGTGCCTCGTACCGGATACACTCCATCTTCGTCCTGCGGCTGTTTAACGACCCGGTCGCCATGTTGTTCCTCTACCTGTCAATCAACCTGTTCCTGGACAAACACTGGGCCTGGGGATGCTTCTGGTACAGGTGAGACTATATCTGATGTCTACACATGTAGTGTGTAGACAGTTGAGACAAAAAAGTTAATGCCCTGGCCCAAGGTGTTTATGGTAATATAATCCCTGGTCAGGTGCGATAACGACCAAATAAAGCACCAAGTGAGCATATTTTCAAATTAATTATTCAAAATGAACTACAATACATTGTTTAATAAATAAATATATTGTACTTAAGTCTTAACACTACTGTTAGTGTCTTGTCCCTCATATAATGGTATTGGTTATTTTAATAACCGACCATTTTTTTTATCATTCACCACTTGTTACGGCCTGATAATCAATGAGAAACTTACTAATAGGCCTTTTCTCATTGGTTGACATTGCCAGGCCATATAATAATACCTGATATTTTCAGAAAAAGAATCAACATATGAAAGTTTTTTTTTTTAATTCTCTTTTTTTTTTCTGCAGTTTTGCCGTCTCCATTAAGATGAATGTCCTCCTATTTGCCCCTGGTCTGCTTCTGCTGTTACTAACGGAGCTGGGTGTGGTCAAAACTGTCGCTAGGCTGGCCATCTGTGCAGGACTACAGGTGTGTGGAGAGACCTGACACTTGTTATTTTAACCTTTAGCCTGCTAACTTAAGGTAGCTGCTTGGCTCCAAATATGCTTTGGTTCTGGGTTTAGGCAGCAAGGAGATGGTTAAATTTGAAAAGAATTGGAATTTTTAAAAAATACCTTTAATTCTCTCAAATTTACATCTGTGAATTAAAAATTGACTGACTATGATGGGATACAAATTCAAATTCAGCTGGCAACTTAAAGGTTTATCCAGTATTACTGGACAATACCTACGTGGAAGGAGAGGGATGTGCTTTACCTTCCAATGCTAAATATTATTGCCTTAACACACAGTAACAACTACAGAGGTTACAGGACTATAGCTACCTATTGCCTATGTCATACATGTATGTTTAAAAGCATGAGACATAAACATTAGAGTAACTTTTTTTTCCTTCTTTATTTTTTGTGCAGTTAGTTCTGGCCATCCCCTTCCTGTTGGAGAACCCCGTGGGATACATGGTACGGTCCTTTGACCTGGGTCGCCAGTTCTTCTTCATCTGGACGGTGAACTGGAGGTTTCTGCCCGAGGACATTTTTCTGAACCGGTCCTTCCACCTGTCCTTACTGGGGCTCCACCTAGCAGCTCTTGCCATGTTTGCAGTCTACAGATGGAACAAGTGAGTCATCTGGATTCATTGCTTGTTGAACATGGATACATCTTCATTAGAAGACATGAAAACTTAAATTGTCACTTATTCTTTTGAAAAAAATGACCAACTTTCTTATAACACACACACACACAGTACTATAGAGCATTATGTATTCAAATGTGTTTTGCACATTTTGTTTGTGTCAACCAGTTGTATTCAACATTTGATTGTTTCATCCAGTTATATTCAAATGTGTTTAGCACATTTGTTTGTTTCAACCAGTTGTTATAGTCTTTTTTTTTCAGAAAAGTTTGGAATATCGTAACTTAGGAATTTGGCCTTCATTTTTTATACACAATTGTCCAATTGCAAAATCTTACTTTAAAATTCCTTTTGTTGTTTTTCTCAATGTAGGAAAAATCGTCTATTTGACCTGTTAAGACTGAAGGTGTCTGAGAAGGAACAAGACCAGGCCCAGCTTAGCAGTCATGATATCCTTTAAGAAGTGTGGTGGTCTAGTGGTTAGTTATCCTCCTTATAGACCACAAGGTCAGGATTTCAACTCCTTGGACTTGTGATCAAAATTTAGGACCTCAACATGTAACAGTAATGCCCTCAAAGAGATTGTTATAAGTTGTTGATTCCATGTTTTAAGACATGGAATCAACAACTTACAACTTATGTTTTGTTATGTTATTTTGATAATCATAAGTTACATGTACATCTTAAGGAACACTTTTCTTTCCTTAACCACTTCTTACAGATTGTGTCAGTTCTCTTTGCTTCTAACTTCATTGGCCTGTGCTTCAGTCGGTCCCTGCACTACCAGTTCTATGTGTGGTACTACCACACTCTGTACTACCTACTGTGGACCACAGACCTACCAACAGTAGTCAGGTAAGTTCTGTGGTACTACCACACTCTGTACTACCTACTGTGGACCACAGACCTGCCTACAGTAGTCAGGTAAGTTCTGTGGCACTACCACACACTGTACTACCTACTGTGGACCACAGACCTACCAACAGTAGTCAGGTATTGAAGTTCTGTGGCAATACCACATTCTGTACTACCTACAGTGGTTGTCAGGTGAGTTCTGTGGTACTACCACACTCTGTTCTATCTACTGTGGACCACAGACCTTTTAACTGTAATCAGATAATTTCTCTGAAACTACCAGATTCTGCAGCAGCTGAAATAGGCTTGGTAACCAGGCTAGTGGGATGAAGCATCAATGTATTTTCAAAACTTTTCCATTGTCACCTTGCAGACTGCTGGTACTGGGAGTGATAGAGATGGCCTGGAACACCTACCCCTCCACTGTGGAGAGCTCCGTCTCCCTACATGTCTGCCATCTTGTCTTACTGGGGGCACTCTGGGTCAAAGGTCATGTGTCACGAACAGAGGTCAAGGTCAAGAAGGTCAAGTAACATGTCCATGTGAGGGTGTGAATGGGGTTTTACTTAAAGTTGCAAAGAAAAAAAACTGTTGATAATAAGTTTTTTTGTGGCTGAAGACTTGTTTTAGTTTTTAGTGTTTGTACACAAATTCTCAGGTTAATTCTTCATAATTGCCAAATTCTCTTTTTCAAAGGAAGACTCTTACTATTTCAGTATTTGTTATTTTGTATCATTCTGTCAATATTTTAGTATGATTGTCTTTATCTTTGATATGTGCAATTGTCTAATCTGCTTGGGACTTGAACTCAATAATAATGTTATTGATACTATTCAGAGTGAGGGAAACTGTTCTGATAATAACAAGAGAGATAAGATGATGATGTATTGTGTTCTGTTGTTAAAACCACCTCTTGCTACAGTCTTTCATCATTTTGTTCCTATACCAGTGTCTTCTCTGCTAGCAGCCTAAGCTCTTGAGTATAAAGAAGACTATAACTTACGTCACTAAAAAAGTAAAATGGTTATGTCCATGGTACTGTTTCTTTTGTTATTAGAAATGTGATAAGAGCAATAAAGCTGTGATGATGACATGCGAAAAGTCATTGAAACATGTCTCAAAATGTCTCAAAGTAAATTTTATATCTATGCTCTGTCTATTAGTAAGTAAATACTTGTACAGATCCCAATATTGAATGATGCTTGCTGTTTCATTCGAAACTTTTTATCCAGTAATAAGTCACAGTGACAATGCAGTATTTCCCAAACATTATGCCTTCTAAATTTGGAATACAATTAAATAAAGTAATCAATGCATTGTACCTCTGAAAGATGAATAAATGTTGTTTATTAATGTCATTAGAACTCATCATGATTAAGTAAAAAGACTCTTAACTCTTTTTGATATTTTACACATTTTATTAGGTTTCACCACCTTGATTATAGTGGAACATCCGATGGACAATTTTCTTGGCTTTTTTTGTGCAACATTTCACAAAGTTGGTCACATTTCACTGGACAATTCACAAAGCTGGGGACTGCATTATTGGCTATACAGGGCCTCAAGATCCAATACTGATACGAAATGAGTCTCCCCTTCCAATCCGTAGTCAATATACAAGCCTGTGCATTGTTAGTGTTGCACTACAAAAACAATACTCTGACATAAGTTTCTTTAACGTCATCATGACACAAAATGACATTACAATACTTTAAACATGTCCTCAAGTAGAAATATATATAATATGTTAACTATACTATAATTAAAGTATGACAGAAGTCTATATAGCTCAATAAAAGACACAGTGTTACTAGCAGATGGCTCAACCAATCTGACCTTAATTATATAAATGTATACTTAGTGTGGCATTTTACTTAGCGTTAAATCTCAGTTGTAGCATTTGATTTTCTTTGACAAAAAATACATAACATAATGAAAAACCATGAAAGAAAAATACCATTCTAAAAAAACACGGTTTTTACTCACACTACAAAATTGTTATTAGCTCCTTGCCTGATAATTAAAAGACTTTCTTTTCAAATCCCTCCCATATAAGTCTCAACATATATCAGTGGCTCCAGATTATGCAATGAAACATACAACTTTTTATAAAACATCTTGCTGTAGAAATAGCCTGTAAAACAGTCATTTTGCTGATGATTATCTTAATAAGATACATGCTTACTTTCAAGAAGACACACGTCGCAGCTACCCTAAAAAACGTAAGTCATATGTTATATGAAGTGTCCCAATCAAGCCGTCAGCCACTTTACATGCGTTTTTCCGAAATCTCCGGGTTCGTTTCAAATTCTGGATATGGTCTGCTGTCTGACATGATAACAACGAGCAGGTATAGAAACTACTGGGCACAAAGTAGGCTTATCTAGTCATTAACATCTTAAAGGGATGTTGTTCACAAAAGATCTAGACATTCTACAAACCTCAAGATTTACTCTCTATGTACTCAAGACCTTAGATTGGCACCACATTTTTGCCAAGTAGAAAATGATGTTTCCACCCACCCCCTCCAGCTCAACAGGTTTGGTATGTTCCAGTGACGTATTGACCATTGACATCCAGAAACCCTGTTTCGAACAGTGTGATGTTGTCCCCGATGCAGACTTATTGCGTTAACTCTAACCAATATAATACCAACTAGGAAGATTTCCACTGTAATGAGAAAGTAGTGAAGAGTCCCACTGCAAAGCACTGAGCCTGGGCTACCCTTGGTAAAACTGACATAAATAAACAAATAATAAACACTAGTAGCTGTTAGGAAGTGTTACAGTGGCCAAAGTAGAGCACAGCTCGCGCAATTTTGTCGCACCGTGTATCACAAATATCACATAGCTGTAGGCACGTAAGCTCCAACAACAAACGACTCTCAGCGCCCCTGAACACACTGTAAGGCTGTTTGTACAATGTAGCGTTTTGAATTTTGTAGACAATCTTTGGACAACAATTGATTTTCACCGCAACGTCACATATTTACGTCTTTGTACAATGCAGCGTTTGTTTTGAATGTTTTAGACACTTCTTGGACAATTGCAACAAGTAAGCGACATTCGATTCACTGCCACTGCACACATTTTAGTGCTTTGTACAATGCGATTTTCGAGTATTCTATTAGACATTCCTTAGGCAACAGACCACTGCACACAGGTTACAGGTATTTGTACAATGCAGCTTTTTCAATGCTTTAGATAGTTCATAAACAAGAAACGAGTTTAGCGCCACTGGGCTCATTTAAGGGATTTATACACAGCAGGCTCTTGAACGACCAAGACATCATTACCATCCATAAGACAATTAATGAGCTTGTTATCGCTCAAAATTCTTAACAATTCTACACCTAAACCGTGTGAGCTTTCTCCTTGGCAGCGGTTCCTTCACACATACAAAAGCTCACTCCTTTTATATATCTCAGCGAGTTAGGTCACGTTAAAGGATTTCCCTAATCCAAATGTGGTACGTACATCCTGGCATGGCCAAAAACACCTACCAACTACTATGTTACTGCAAAACAACACAGTTTGGCAACAGAGCTGTTCTGGTCACAGATTATTTCGTAGCATCTGTACGTAGATCGTCCCACAATCTACCATCAGAGAACTACGGCTTGTTAACATTTTCTCTGGGTATGAGGACGTTTTTTTCCCTTGATTCTCAGTATATCCGACTATGGGATATTTTTTGGAGCAGGATATTTGAAGATGTCTCGCCAGATGAGTCGTAAATGAAGATCGACCGATGATGAAGAAGATGTGAGAACAGCTTTATCGCAGTAGAACTAGGACCTCCATGGCGGCAGCCTTCAGGCTCAGTAGGTCCCAACCTTTCGGCAGGGCGTTCTCGTTCGTTGCCAGCCAGGTCTCGGCTTTTCCCGCCATGAGTTCCCACTCCTCAAACAGCCGCACGCATTTCTTCTCCAGCCAGCCCAGAGCCACCAGCGTCGCCCAGAAGCGCGATTTCGTCGACTCCATGTCGTTTGATTCTGGCGTCACACATTCTCTGTCCTCGTCGTCTGCGCAGTTCCCGCCAAAATTGTTCTCTTGCGTCGTCTGCGCGGCCTGTGATTGGTTGAAAAGCGCGGGAGAGACGCTTTTCCAGGACTCGTTCAACTCCTGCCACATCATCTTTTTCAAGTTCTTGGCCTCGTTGTTCCCGCCGTTTTTCTTGTGTCTCCTACCGAAGTTCCAGCAGTGCGTCGTGTTGTCGTCGGAATCGCGTCGGGCGATCTCGGCGGACCCGTACCTTCCCGACGTGTTGTCGTGTCTGTCGAACATGGGGCATGCGCGGTACAGCGTTTCCAAGGGGATGTCGATGACGTCAGAGAATGACGCGTCCAGTTGCCAGGCGCCGTCCGCCATTTGCAGTTCCACCAGCCGGGCGAACTTCCCGCTCACTGGGATCAGCTCTCCTCCTAGGACAGGTCTGGAGAAACAGAAACAAAAACATCATTACTGCGGAAAAATTTCTCTGTCATTGAACTTATACTGAATCAAAAAATTCAAATGACACCGTCTTAATATAGTTAATGCGTTCAAAACTACAAATGTAACTCGCTTTGCAATTAGCATTTATGACATATGCCCTCGACGCAAGTTATAATTTTGCAGCATTTTTCGAAAATGCAACGGCGCTATTGTATCTATGTCGTCCGTTCACAGAGAGCCTTTACTTTGCTGCAAAATGTTTGTAAAAATGCTTGTCTTTTAGACAAGTTATGCATAAACATCTTCATAATCATCATAGACTATCACCCTTGGGATCGGGGTCATATTCTGCACTACTTGTTTCCAGATGGTACATTTTGCCATTGCTTGGGTTTCTAGACTTACCTGTACATGGGTTTCTTGGAAGGAGTTGTACCGGAGGGCAGCAGCTTGGAGAAGGAGCCGAACTTGGAGAGGATGAACCTCTCGGCCTTGTGGAGGTCCGGCCCCGCCGGCAGGCTGGCAGACGACCCGGGGATCTTATCCGCGCTGTACCGCTTCCGCAGTAGGCTTTCTGTAACGGTAAGGGGAAAGGTTACGGGCCTGGCCACACGTCGTGCGATTGCAGAAATAGAGCATTTGGGATATGCACATTCGTGCATGATCCATCCGACTTAGATCCAGGTTCAAGGTCGGTTCTGTCATACTTAGTCTGGCAATTATTCCGTATCAACTTCGTCGAATGTGACTTGTTGAATACTTGATCTTAGCTGACCGTGACGTAATCTGTGATATATGCATTAATATATAGACCGTTGGCGACTAGGGCCCACACCGACCAGCTCTTCGGCACCAGGTCCAACAGCATATCCCTAATGAAAATTTCGCTCTCATCCCGACGGAATGGGCTGTTGATGGAACTCAGTCAGGCAGATAGATTCTTCAGGGCGGGCTAATTATAAGTTGCAGGGATCGAAGCTAACAGTGCCGAGGAAACCCAGCCTGCAGCCCTGGGAGAGTTTCGGGATTGTGACTTTCTAGGCAAGTTATTGTATCTTTAGTTAGGTGCATATATCAGAAAATAAGGTAAAGAAATGAATGGCTTGAAGGAATCAATAAGAAGTGAATGCAAGTCTGATCAAATAAATATACAGAATACTTTGACAAAATGATGTAAAATGTAGGAAAATAGTATTTCTTTCCAAAAATCGCTTCAAGGCCACCAAATACAATGGCTGATAAGCAGCGAAGCGGTAGGTGATATCTGTGTGGAGATGTTTGTTGTATTTTCCGCGCCAGTCTTATTCGATTCATCAAAACGTATTTATTGCATGTTTAAAGGGACCTATACTTGTCGTTTCAGGGTCCTGTACGTGACCTTTAAGGTACCTATACATGGCGTATTCCTGGTCATAGGTTTGTGGCATTCTTTCAAACTTTTCTACATACCGATGGTATCTGTTTGTGAGATAACCAGAAAACCTTTATTTCACCCAAAGCTTCTACTTTATTCCTCCATCCCCTTCTTTCCCTCCCTCTCTCCCTCCCTCCCTCTCTCCCTCCCTCTCTCCCTGACTCACCGTCTATGGATGAGAAGCTGAGTCTGTCTGAGAGCCCGGATGTGACGGTGAGGTGGTTGAGTGACGGAGCCGACCCGTGGAAGGGGCAGCTGTGGAGGCCTGGGAGAGCGCAACCACGTTTAGACCATGCACTTAGCGTACAAACCGCAAGGAGGTGTACATGTGCGGGCACACTGGGAGACCCATGACGTCACGGTAGGCAAAAAGGGGGTGACGGTTGGCTGATTTGCCCACCAAAAATTTGCATATATCTTCAAATAATTTGCATTGATATAATGTAAACAAAAACAGCGATCGCTCTATAATCGAAAGCACAAGCTACGTTTTAAGATACGTGTTGTAAATATAATTTTATTTTAATTATGGAAATATTTTAGAATTTTAGATGAAGACATTTTGAAACGTTATCATTTATTTTTGTACAAAATAGGAAATTTAAATATACATCACAGGTCCTCCAGTGTGCCTACATTCAAGAGCCACCTGGCGGTTACATTAGTGACTACATAATGTAAGTCCAGTTTTGTGAGTTCGAACTCTGCTTGATAAAAACAAATGTGAATGTGATTTGTCTTGACGGATAGGTTAATCTGTGGGGATGATAAAGTGGTTTCCAGGCCAGAGTATTAGAGTATTAGTCTGTACCATAATGTCAAGTGATCGTCCTGGTGTACCTTAAAGACAGAGCATCTAAATTGTGCTACTTAAAACTTAAATCTGTCGTGGTTGATCATGATATTTATTGTAAACCGTGAGCTGTAAGCATGGCTGCTGTCACGTGAAGTGTCAACCAATCAGCAGAAGACAGAAGAAGTAACATGGCGTCCATGTACAGAGTTACAAAATGGCGTCCATACTTGTGTGGTCGTGGAAGACGTCATCGGATCCATCCGAGTCAAAACTCGCTCTCGGTCTCCGTCCGAGGCCCAGCGAGAAGCCGTAGCGTTTGCCTGCGGTCAATAATGACAGGGACTTCAGTGGCTTAGATGTCACAAATTTAAAGTTGAAGAGTTGACATGGTGTTGTGATGTAGTGAATACATACATATATACAGTGGACCTAAGGTACCTGGGAGACTGTGATAGCATCTATTGGACTATAAACAATTCATCGAGTTCATATTTCCTCAAAACAACTGTCCGGCGCCCACTTTCATCTCGGATAGTGCCTGAACAGCTTGCGCTAGAACCATCACATTTGGTGACTTTTCCTAAAATCTATCTGGCAACACTTTCACATTAATTAGATTATGTGATTATGATTAAGTTAATAAATTTTCGCGTTGCCATGGCAACGGGTTTCTGACAGGCAGTTTTTTAAAATGTAATTTTGGTTTGAAGATTAAAATTTCAGGGGTTTTATATTGAATTACACTTCCTTTCTAACATTAATATCAAGTGATATAACTATATCTAATTTCTATCATTGAATATTAATAATCTATGGTGGCAGCACGTCAACTTCACCTGGGATCCGGGAACATGTACCCCACTAGGAAGATGAACCGTTGAACATGTACTTTATACGTAATCTTGTGCACTACTCACCCTGAGTCCGCTTCCTGCCCATACCCCTGACTACAGTCCTTATAATTAGGCATGTTATCTACCACAGGCAGAATGTCAAATCTGCCTGGGAGTGTGTACGGGGACAAGGATTTTACTCACCCTGAGCCCGTTTCTTGCCCCTGTCCCTGGGTCTGTTATGTACCACGGGAGGCAGCACGGCGCCTGTCAGCTCGTCCACGGCCACGAACGTCGTCAGACGGGAAGGGATGTTCGCCGCCTGGCTCAGCTCCACGATCTTCTCCTTCAGGGAACCCGCGTCTTCCATAGGAGCCTCGTGGATCGGAGAGTCTGAGAGACAAAATAGTGTATTGTGTATTGTCAAGTGTATTGTACATGTCTTCTCGCAATAAAAGTCAAAGAAGGCCTTACGCCCCTTCTTCTTCTTCTTTAGGGAATTAGCATTATTGGCATCAGCCATTTCCAACAACGACTATTCATATATAAACCATAGGAAACATTTTCATTTGAGATGCTCTCTTTACTAACACCAGACTACAAAGCATGGTTAGCACGAACTCGGTACCTTTGGGAAGAAAGATTTTGTTACATTTATTCCCTAATCTAGATATTGATACTTTTGTCTTGATTTGTGTGTGATGTTAAAACGAGTTGCCAACCCGAGAGCAGCACACGAAAGATTCTTTAAGCTTACGTTACATTATAAACTTCATCTAAGAATAAAACTATATATTAATTCATGTTTATATATAAAGTATACCTTCTAGTTGTGAAGAGCCCTTGCGTAGAATCTCGTCCTCAAAGTCCCGGATGAGAGTTGTCGCCGCCAGCTGGTGTATGACGTCATCCCACGGGCTGTCCTCGTTCCCAGAAGGCAGCGTGATTTCCGGGTCCAGAGCCTCGCTGATGTCAAAGGGCACCTCGCGGACGAACTCCTTCCCGCAGAGCGTTCCTCGGATGACGGCCACACACTGCCCGTCTCTACTCTCGTGCCTGGACAGGAGGTAGGAGATACATTTTAGCAACTTTGTAGAACTGCTGATGTTACCATGCTAGACGGAGCATTTGTATGCCAAATGTGTCACAAATAGTAGAAGTGGTAGAGGGGGTGTTAACATTTGATAACCTCAATACAAAAACTACCCTACTGCAAACTACTACTGTGGCGCCAGTACAGAGAAAAGTACCAACTGACTATCCTGACTAGTATTAGTACATCACACTAGAAGCTATTCTACTGATGAGACCCCTAGTACTTTGGTGGTCAACACCTCTATCTATAAAGGCTGGAGCATTATATTACTTACATAGAGATAAAGAGGAATTGGAAGCTTAATTAGATATAGTGTAGAAGGTTTTGATGCCTGTTTTCCAGAGTTACAGAGAATCTTGAACTCTTATTGACAATATTTCTGGACTGATGTTCTTAGTGATAAAGTAATGTTCTTAGTGATAAAGTAAAAAAAAATCCTTAAGTTTCTATCAGTACTTCTATCAGTACTTCTAATTGGAATGGCTCCCTCTAGTTAGTGTAGCACTTAGGGAGGGGCCCCAACCAGCCCTATGACAGCGAGATATTTATATGTGATACTTCCTACCTGTCGGCCCGTTTCCTCTCCAGGTGCCTCCGGAGCGCCTCCCGCTTCGCCTCGGTGCGTTTCTCCAGCCCGGCCGCTAGGATGCGCTCGTCGATGTACGAATCCCACTCCAGGTGCTCGAATGTCCCGGATGTTCCCAGCGGGCTCGGCGTGTTGACGTAACCTGAACGTTCGGTTTGGTGTTATTGCCTGTTCGCAGTCACATGGCTATAGTTTAGCGGCCGCCATGTTGCATTAATCTACTTCGCCTGTTAGCATCACTAGCTTACATAATAGATCCTAGTCAATGATATCGATCTTTTACTCCAAACAGTATACTTAAAACTAATTGCTGAATATACAATTTAGTTTCACATGTCATTGGAATGGGTTCGTCATGAGTTATACTTTTGTAAATACTTTACTTGACTGCGCATCTACTAGTAGCTAGATCTTTAATTCCTACATTTCAAACTTTTGAATGTAACCAGTTGTGGCATCACCTTTCTCAGTGAACGGAATCAAGCCGATGAGAAGGTTAAGTTTGATTCTTGTTTGTTTGTTTGTTGTTTACGTACTTGCGTCAGCGCTGATGCTCCTGACGTGTGGCTCCTTCAGGTTGTTGAGCAGGTTGTCCTTAGAGGTGGACGTCCTGCGCTCGTTCCCAGCCTTAAGCTTCTCGTTGTCAGGTGACAATTGCTCGTTCCCAGGCTTGGCTTTCTCGTTATCAGGGGACGGGAGGTCGTGGTGTTTGTTTTCGTCAATATCTGAAAAAAAGAGAAAAAAAAAAACACGTCTAAACTTACAACTCATAGATTCCCCTGCCATTACACTCTGTTTCAAACGATGTTATAAATTAAACTTGAAGATGCACCCAGTTGCAATTTTGAATTGGAGGTTTCCTAAATCTTGAAACGTTTTAGTTAGTCATGTATTAGCCGATCGTTTGCAAGCTTGAGTTCATTGACAGCTTCGGGAAGGTAAAATCTCTTACTCAAATACTGGGAGCAGAAAATAATTTATTTCATATTTAGTTTAACTGATTTTCATATCTTACCCTTCTCTTTCAAATCCTCATCTCTCTTGATGATCTCTTCGTCCTGTTTCGTCACATCCGCTTCCGGGTCTTTATTTCTGGTGACGCCCATGACGATGTCCATCAGCAGGTCGTCCTCCAATGGCTTCTTCTCGCTGAACGAGTCTCGGCTGTTCATGCCGTGGAGAGGCGAGAACGGTGATTGGTCAACGTTGAACTCGTCCCACAGCAAGCCATAAACGGTCAGCGTGTCACCTGAGGTAAGAGTTTGTTTGGTTAGTATTGTTTTCTTACCATGGCATCGCTTGGCGTAATGGTCAGAGGGTTGGCTCAGAACCAAGAGGCCCCGGGTTCAATTCTCTTCTCTGACATGCCCGATGCTGTGCCCTTTCCTCATTGTACTGCTAAGCAATTGTGTTAAGGGTTATTAGGACGTGCGTCTGTTTAATTAAGCTTTTTGTGTTGTTTAACAACATAACTTAATATGCTTTGGATGGATTGAAATGCTATTTGGTTTGTGGCTAGATTTTGAAGACTTCCAGTGGCTTCCTAAAATCGGTTCAGGACGCCCTCTGGGACTTCTGGCAGAAGTCCTGTGTTTAAGGCGCCGCACATTAAACACGTTAAAGAACCCAGCACCTTATCTATGAGTGTCAAAGTTACCAGGCCGGCCTAACACAGCTTGTACTTTACGAGCGCACCTGGTGTGTTGCGCTTTTTTGTTTACCAGTCAGGCAAAACAAACAAACAAACAAACAAACAAACAAACAAACAAACAATCATATAATATTCTGTAACTGACCTGGGTAGAGGTTGGGCAGGTGACATGGCGTCTGCACCAGCTGAACTCCATCCGGGATCTTCCACTCGATGTTGACGTCACAAATCGCGGGCTGTAAACTTCTCTTCAGACACAGTAGAAGCTTGGCAAAGCGTAGAAAATGATATAAAGTTTACTACAACTTCATAGATGGTTGATTACATAACAGGGCACTGCTAGGGCCATAAAATTGTCCTGTATTGTTTTATTGGATTTATGACTACATAACAGCCATTTTACCTGTCTTGCATGTGGTATATGTCTATGTATATAAAGATAAAAAAGAAGAAATTCTTACCTTGGCTTGCATCCGGTCCACCTCAGTCACGAACTCCGCCCTCCCTCGACCGGCTTCCGCGATTCCCCGGATGAGAGCACGTGACGCTCCTTCACCAATCCCGACAGTCCAGCATCTGACGTAATAGATAAATGTTGACAGCCCTCATTCGCACACAGGATATATGAATATATAGGTAACACCAAACGTGCAAAGTAGTATGTGCTCGGTGAGATTTAAGCTCTTTCGCTATGGCGGATGAGCCAATGACCCTTCTGCAAGTTCTGGTGTTGCCGAGGCCCTTATGCTTAGGTCACATTTCCAAACCGGGGCCCGGCCGGGTAGTCATTTGGAACGAAAAGTATGGTATAAAACGCAATAAAGCACAGAAAGGCTGAAAAATATCAACAATGGAACTATTTACGTATATTCTTTATGAAAATTGTTGATTTTTCGTTAATCGAAACAGCCCGGCCGGGCCCCGGCTTGGAAATGTGACCCCAGCATAACCCTGGTGTATACGTTCTAACCTTCTCAGTAATACTTGACCCGGATGTACTAACGCTGTTGTTGACTGTGCTTGTGTGTATGGGGACTTGACCTGGTGTCAAGCCATATACATGATCCTGCCAAAAAATGACTCCGACACTACTTGAGGTTTGCAATATAACTGTACCCGAGAGAAGGGGTGGGAAGGGTGTAGTCGTGATGTGGGAGACTAAACCTAACCTAACCCTAATCGTAAATCTAACCCTAGAACTTAGCAATGATCTCAACTCTAACTCTAGCCCTAAACACCTGACCTCTCACGTATGTGTCATCTAAAGGATTTGGCTCAACACCGGACGTACTTACTTTGTGTATGAGGAGTTGGCCCTGACCAGGTTGATGACCCTAGCTTCTGATGTTGCTGAGGCCCTGACCCTGATGTTTACGACCTTACGTACCTTTTCACTGAATACTTGACCCGTATGTACTAACCCTGTTAGTGACTGTGCTTGTTTGTATGGGTTTTGCCCCGGACGTACTTACCTCGTGTGTGAGGAGTTGGCCCTGACCAGGTCTATGACCCTGTTGGTGTTGCTGACGGCGCCGTCCGTCAGGATGAAGACTTCCCGGGGCCGGCCGGCTGGTCTGGGCGCTGAGAAAATCCACTCAAGCGGCCCTATCAGGTTCGTACCTACGAAGAAGAAATAACCGGTGGATCAGCAAAGACGTTTTCAAAGTTATTGAAGATTACGATGAGTCCTATTTTTCGAGGTTGAAAAAAATCGAAGCTCTTTAACATTAACGGCTTTTTGTATTGCACTGTAAGTCAACAAAGCGGTGAACGGAAAGATAGCAGTCTTGGAAAAGGTAGCATCAACAACAAAATAACATAGACAGCAGCCCTACCTCCTAGATCTGCCCTCATCTTGCAGACCCAGCTGCTGGCCGTGTCCACGTTCTCCTGGTTTACCGGGACGCTGGCGTCAAACAGCGGCTTATAGGTGGAGCCGAACCCGACAACATTGAAGGCACTGCCCGATGGTAGGCTCTTCAGGAACAGCAGAAGGGTTTCTCTGGCCGTGGCGATGTACGCTCCGGACATGCTGCCGCTTCTGTCTATCACCGCGACGTACTCGCCTTGGATGTCCTCAGAAGTCTTCGGGTTCGAGGCTAGGGTGTCTGAGAAGTCCGGGCAGTAGTTGAGCATGAGGACTGGATTGTGGACAAAGTCCGTACAGATTCGGTCCTCGATGATCTCGAAACTGCTCGCCAAAGGGCTATCTACGGGTGTTGCGAAGCCGCTGGTTCTGTTGATGTCACAGGTCTCTTCCGTGTCGACGCTGTGACCGTGTTCCAACACGACGATCGGCTGATGCGGCTGCTCCAAGTGTATGAGAACCTCCAGACACTTGTCAAAGGTGTGAGGCTCGGCTAGAGTGACGAAGACCTCGTTTGCGCTGCTGGCGAAGGGGTCTGCGTCCACACGTATGGCGTGAGTCGGGCTGGACACGCCGGATAGCAAACACGGCATCTTCACCTGTAGGTGGAAGTCAAAATCGTAGGGCATCTGTGTGTGTGTCGTCTCCTGCAGCAGGCTAGTGAGGCTCCAGGTGGATGCTGTGGGGGTCACGGCTATGTTGACGGGGAGGGAGCGCGTGCCCACTGAGGAGAAACCGTCGTCCTCGTCGGTGTCGGGCTCAATGCCTCCGGTCGGACTGTCCTGTCTCGGGCAGAAGCCGTCCGAAAGTTTGAACCTCAGCGCACCGCTGGAGTTGTTCTCCACTCGGGACGACGTGCTCATGATCACCGTCGCCGTTTCCCGGGCCGGTATCGTACCGACGTTCACCGCGAAGATCCCGGCTGCAAGGTGCTCCTCTAGCAGAACGGGGAACTGTTGGCCCACGTGGAGACCCTCGTGACTACACATGACGTCATAGATGTAGTCCAGTTCTTTCCTCTCCCTCAGCTGCACACCTATCGTCCGTCCCGCTATCATGGCGTCGAAGCCGACCACCGTGGTCTTATTGTCCAGCGGGTAGATAAAAGCGACCTCTAGTGGATAGTCCTGGTCGTTGTAGTACGAGAACGATGACGTCATGCCCAGGGAGTGTCCCATCATGCACGCTGATATCCGCACGGACTTGAGCGGTACGCGCGTGCGCGTGGCCCAGTTCAACAGTCGAGGCATCTTCCTGTCAATCAAATATCTAAACTAAAATAGCAACCCTTTTGTCTAACAATATTAATACTTAATGATTACACCTCAATTAATTTTCATCTCTTTGGACAGTTTCTTGTAATTGTCTAAATGATTTGTCTCAGCATCTGCGAAGAAGATGTCTTTCTTGGACCTCGGCCCAGAAACGGTCTTAGCGTCAGCTTTCTTCAATATCAAGGACGGCGTCTATAACAGATATGGCAGTCTTTCGTGCTTTAATGTAGTTCTTGGAAAAACTATCTTTATGCAATATCTCTCACAATGTTTCACACAGACGCGAAATCCCTACCCTTCTCGCCACTTCAGTCCTTTGAAGGGTACGCTAACAATTTCCGGTTCTTCTCGTTTTGCATCGAGTCTTTCGTTAAGTCGCCGCGTGACTTGTTCAAAGACGCTCCTGCGGTGAGTAATAGGATCTACCCCTCAGACTCAGATGCGCATAGAGCGACAGACTTGGCACAAACCAGTGATCAATGAGCCGAGATCTTACAGTGTCCCATTCGGTCTATATCAGAACAAGAATGCCATTTGGTCTAAACTAGGCACCTATAACTTCTGCCGTCATCAACGAATAGCAGCAATCCATGGTTAAGAATCTTGTTCGCGAATTGATATATTTTCAGCAATAACTATTCAAGACTATTTTTGTGTGCCTCCCAGATGATTTTGAATATGTCGTCTTAGAAGGTAAGCATTTGTATTGAGCTCTATCGACCTCTTTTATGTGCTGCTGTCTAAGCTTGGCACACACCTGCTCTCCACCCACCGGGATCTGTAAGAAGAACATTCATCTCAATTCAAACGCGTGAACTGCGTAGAAAGATGCACATAATGGCAGTTACAATATCATTAAAACTGTTTTACCATTTTAGTCTATGAATAGCTCACGACTGTCTCGTAAAGATGAATTAATTTGTGCATAGGCAATGACAGGACGTCCTTGTCCTTTTTCAAAAGGGCCAAGGTAGTTCCAGACATTAACGTAAGTCCATCCGCCCCTTAACCCATATGTATCAGCCCGGCCTTGTCCCAATCTTGCCTCAGCCTCACACAGTAGGAAATATCGAAATGAGTTTTCGGAAAAAAGGTCTTATTTCTGGAACAATGTTCTTATCAAGATCAACAACATTTCACACATTTTCGGAAGTTTTAGATTCCCAACTCCCTTTTACCTTATACTTTGAATAGGTCTTATGTACAATACTGTCAGATAATACTTTCAAAACGTAAGAGATCTCGTGTACCAGTTTAGCTTTGAAACTTAACAGAATAAAATAAATAGCTTAATAGAATAAATTAACAGTTAATTTACTCTTCCATAAGTAGTGACCAGACGCTATGTAATGTGTTTACATGTTTATTATACCGGGGAAATTCTACTATTAATTTCGATATGTGCGATGAACAGTGGACCACGGCTTAATGTCCGGTGACAAAGACGGTAACCTTTTTCAGTAACATGCATGTCGGGTGAGCTCGACAGGCACAGTCAGAATTTTAACTTACAACGTTTTGATCCCGAGGCACGGTTGCTAAGCACTGAACTACGCACACTACTTGTCTGCTGTCCTACTTGAGAATACGACCTTAACATTTAGACACGTCCTTCATATCCGCTACTAACCTAAGCGTGAAATTAGTTTTCGGTACCACAGAGAATTTCAAGCGTTCTTTTTTATAAATATTTGGCAATGATATATTTTCATGAGTCATTCTCCTTAGTAATACCTTTCCAATATTGATGTGCTCGTGTAAAATAAGTTTGGTTGCGCTTCGTTTCTTTGCCGTTCAATCCTATTCATCAGCAAATTATATCAGTATAAACCAGACATATTTTACGGAATGATACTCTTCAAAACCGTTGTTTTGGTTAGTCCAGTCCTTGCTAAAGTAACAACAATAAAACAACCAAACAACAAAAAAGCTCTTCTGCACTGTACTAGTGTTAAGACTACTGTACCTACATGCATGTCAAGGTTCGACCTTCTCAGCTTACCACCTCACAGCACTTCGCACGATTTTACTGACATTTTCTTAAAGCTATAACCTTTGATCTCACGTTACAATGAATGCTCCCTCATGAGTCACCCAGAAGGAATACGACGCTACGACGCAGTGGCTGGGCGTTTGTTTCTTGAGATAAGCTCCGCTTAATTGATTGATTTTCCCAGAGATGCCTCAAGTACAATTAGGTCATCCGTCACACATGGTTATATGGTGCAAGAAATACAAAGGACCACCTGTTTGCTACGTCTTAGTTCACAGCCTAATCCAGCATCTTATCCCCAAATTAAGAACCACAATTACGTCTTAAGAAATGGCAAAAAGGCTAAAGTACCTTGGTGTCTTGCAGAAGACGTTGAGCCCAGGCAGTCTTGGCACCTCTCCTTCAGACGCAGAAGCTTCTGGAAGTAACCGCTTCTCCAGACGCTCGAGTCATTACCTGCTAATATCCTGGTAAATTAGCTGACCTTTTCCCGGGCCTAAGGAGATTCCCTGCCGGCGAATCCGATCAGTTTCCCGCTCTGCTGGAGCTCTGAGGCATTGGCGGAAAATATCGTCTGCACCGCGTCTCCATGGATACGGCTGATGAGCGCGCTCATGGACGATTCAACTAAACCAACAGGGGGTATCAAACTTGTGAAAAGTCCTCCGTTAGACTGTTAGACCGTCCGTAATGACCTCATCGTAGCTACTCTAACAAATGGTCAATTATAACGATAGTGAGTATTGGGTCTTATGTTAGACCCTGAAGGCCCTAACCTAGCTACTGCAACAAATGTCACGGCGAAGTGTTCCTCCGATGCAAACTATGGTCTCGTCTGTCGTATCTTTTCATGGGAAATCTTCCTCAGGATTTGATCACTGCCTTAAAGCCAAAATTTGTTTGCCTCACTGTTTACAAAAAAGGTCTCTTGTCGTTGCGGTCTGTCGTGTCCTTTGATGATAAACCTCCCTCACGATTGGAAGATGAGCCCTTTGATTATCGTATCTCTGCCGTCACGCGGTGAATCTTGTTATGACAGGCAGGTGGGAGTAAATTGACGTGTCGTGACTGGATCCATCAACATCAGCACAGCACGTTTCCAGCAGACCTCTGTAATAAAGGGAAACAGATGTATACATTAACATGCAAAATGACCAGTAAATGATAGTGCTACCAACACGCACAGATGAAAAAGTATACTACCAAATTATGTAATAATCACACAATGAGGATACGTTACAAAATGCCATGTAACAAATTTGCTTTGATCTGCCTTGTATGCATATAATCTGTAGATAAATTAACGATTGAATGTTCTGATATTTTTCTGCTTGATTGAATGACACATGTCACATGCTCGGAGCAAACCTTTCCATGGGGAACGTTTATATATCATAATTTCAAGATCTGTCCCAATCTCGAAATGTGTCACGATCTCCCCACAAAAGAAGATTCCCAACCTCAAAAGTAAAAAGAAAATGAGTACAGTAAACTTCGAAGGCAAGGAAGCACAGTCAATGACCCTGCTACGAAGCAATGTGACGAAAACATGTATCCAGAAATAGTATTTCCAGCTGCGTTTTCGTGTTTTCGGAATCTCAAGTAGCTAGGGAAGACGATCGGATGGCCAAATATGGTCACACCTCTACATAAACCTTTCAATACATCAACAGGTAGTCATCCACCATGCCATGCACGTATACCAACACAGCAGTAGGTCGCTATATATAACCTAAACTACAGTGCCTTAGCTTCCGATTGTTTATATTCATAGAGATGAGAAAATAGTAGGTACATGTATTTACCAGGAAACTATGGATACAAATAAACTGGTGAAGGATGGCACGTAACATTTGTAATCCTTTTTACTGCATGGCAAGGGAGAGAAGCACTTTGTTTGCTGTATCAGTAGACATTGCACAAATGTAGAGGATTCGCTCATAGCATTGGTGATAGGTCAGGTTGAGTCCTAGCTAAATTCGACGCGAAATGCTGGAGAAGCGAGCGCAGTGCAGTGGTTGGGAATATGATAAACAACGATACAGAAATAGTTTTTACAATCTGTGGTTTTCATGCTTTTCAAATCTCAATAGGCACGGAAAGACGACCCCATGGCTAAATATGGACAAAACTCTACACTTCTAATTATAGGGACAAACCTGCCTGAAGCAGTCAATTGCAACCACCTCCAGTCATATACAACATTAGAATAAAACCATCATGTTCAAAATAGTTAACATCCTGTTGCCTTGAGCAAGCAGTCCCTTTAGTGATTGTCACAAAAATGCAGCTTTTGATTAACAGAAGTTAAACAACATTTTATGTAGTTTTTTGTAGTAGTAACGTTAAATAAAACATTTCCATTTGGGGTCCAATTTGATGTAGGGCCCAATATAGTTTTTAAAGTAGTAATGGCAAAGAAAGTATTTTTTATTTAGGGCCCAATATATAGGGAATCCTCAAAATTTGCACAGTTTTGAGTACCGACATGCATTATTATTATCAGTTTGACTATACTTCAGTCAAAATATTTCTATTTAGAGCCCAGTATATAGGGAATCCGCAAAATTTGCACACTTTCGAGAACAAAGATACAATATTATTATCAGTTAGACTGTATTTTAGTCTATACAATGAAAAGAACTTATTTAAAACATAACGTTGATTTCAGTGGGCCAGCCACCATGGCCGGTGTCCTACAGCTTATATAAACAAGAACGCATTAGCATCCTCCACAGGAACAAACAGTAACCCTTTACCTACAGCCGCGATCAAGACATAATCGCCACAACGTTTGATCTCGTGTCCTTCAGAGTAATTTCACTGCTGCGGTCTCAGCCTTTTACAGCTCCATTTTACTAATAATTGTTCTGTCTTTGTCTATAAAACATCTATAGGCGGTCTTAAAACATGCCAAATTTGACCAAATTGGGGGAATCGAATATCAGAGGACTTGGTTGGTCATTAGAGCACAGATTTGCTCGTCGGTCGCATATATGTTTAATGATAACTCAATGTTTGAACGTTTGTTTATCCACAAGAAGCTCAAATTGGCCTCTAGCTTTTCTTTGAGGTCATAAAATATAAGGAAAACGTAAGGGTCAGACAAATTATCTTAATAAAGATACAGTTAACATAATTTAAAATCCCAATAAATCTCAATAAATAATTACAGCTATTGGGCCAACTTCTACTGCAGTAACACACAAAC